TTGGCGACCCCCTTAAAAACCCAGGTTTTTGACATACTAAGACTTTATTATTATTCAGTAACTACAGAGACTTCAATGGAAACAAGCTGAGCTGCTCTTAGATGTGGTGTGTAATAAAACTTTGGGTCTGCCAGAGGGCTCTGGACGTTTAAGGCGTTAACTGAAATAAAACCAATAGGTGGGTAGAAGAAGTCTAAGGAAAGCACACATTACATAGACATCTCTGATGGGTCTGATGGTTAATGCTAAATATGTGTATGCACTGGCTAAGTTAGCAAGTTAGCATCATCAACAAACCACCATACACTCACAAAGCAAAACAAAAAGGGCTTCCAATTACTTTGTAAAGAGTTTGTTAGGGTGACATTTGCTATTTTCACAAGCATTGCTAATGTTATTAGCATGTATGTTAGCAGCCAAAGAATTTTTGCTCCCCAGAGAAAGCTGTGAGCTTTAGCATGTAACTGTAGACATTTGTGACATGTCTGCCAAGCACAGTGCAGTATATCATTTCATGTCAGTACATTTGGTGTCAGGTCCTAAATTAAGCTACCATGTCAGTGTCACTGTTTGCTATAAATGGGCCATCACCCAAATAAAACCTGGTCAGCAGTTGTCCAGTGGACAGAAACTGGCCAAAGATGAAAGAAGGGGCAGGGTCAGAAACTGCGCATCAACAGATGGGCTACGCTCTCCTAACTATACACCTACATAGTGGAGCTATATTCTAGCTGGAGCTCATAAAGTAGACACTGGCTGGAAGTACAATGTAGGGCTGACACTATGGACACTGAGAATATGGTCATATACTTTTACTAGTCAAAGAGTTTCCCTGGATTATGGTCTTACCTAAGCAGTGGACAATGATAAGAGCAATATCGAGAGAAGCATATGTCCAGGAGCACTCTGTGGGTACAGGCCTTCATTCAGACAAAAAATTAAAAATAATTCAGCCAGTTTTGATTGTAAGTACTGAGCTATAGGCTTTAGGATGTAATAAGATTAGAACTTTACAGAGTTTAATAATAAATATAGAGTATAACAAAAAGACATTTTGCAAGTTCAAACTGTGCCCTCAACATATGGTGGAAGTATGAGGGAAGACTGATTGAGGGAGGGGAAAGAACTCTGAGAACTTGGGCTGGAGTTCTGGACGGCTTCCGGCTGTAGCTAGAAGGCCGGACCCCCCTGGGGAACAGGGAGGAGATAGGGTGGTGGTGGGGATTGCGAGATCTTCGTCTTGGGAAATAGAAGGTAAGAATGTAAATTTATTAGGTGAAGGAGGGGTTCCAGGCATGTTTCTCCTCCTCCTCTCCTCCTCCAAATTTCAGTTATTCTATAATTTTATTAAATAGGCTCATTTCTCAGACTTAATTGTAGCATACATAACATTTACAAGAAATCTAAGAGGTAAACACAGTTTTTGAGATTAGCTGTGTTAGCCCCTCTGGTCTTGCTTTAGAAGTTTTGTATTACTCAGAAGTTAGGATGCTACAACTACTTTCTGCATTAGAAGGAAATAGATTCTGAATAATCTGTACTTTTGGAGTAAAGAGGTGAATTATAGGTCTGGACAGACTCCAACACCACATCACATTGTGAGATATTAGTATAGTCCAAGAAGTTCAAGTCTCAAAACATATTTAAATATTGTAGCATTACTGCTAAAAGAGACACAGCTTTGCACAAGTTGTGGCTTTATTATCCAGCTGTTGTTGGCCACAGCTACGCAGTACACAAGCAGTGTTTTCTCTTTGCTAAGAGCTTGTTCTCTACTCAGCTGATGTCTGACTCTCTCAGCTCACAGCTCATGATTGACTCTGTTCTTCCTGCTCTAACACATATTCCTCCAGCAGATTAGCTCTATCTTCACAATAAGAGTCTTTAGTAGAATAACCCATGAATAAATGTTGAACTAAGAACCCAGATTTAACATGGACATTTTTTAAACATGCTACAAAATGTTTTAAGAACAGCCAGTGATGGACTTTTTGTTTAATTTCTGTACTTTTTGAGACTTTGATTCACAAGGACTGCAGCTTATCATTCAATGTACGTGGTTAGTCTAAAAAGTAAACATAGTATGTTTAAACATAAAGCACTGTATTTATGTTATATGCTAATAAGATGTAACTGTCCCTATTCACAAAGATGTTTGAAGGAAATAGAATTAATAGCATTTAATTAAATGTATAGTCAAAGGGCCATTTTAAATTACTTTATTTAGTGATATTGAGTCCCAATCCCAAACCCCCATTAGACAATAGCATTCAATAAGCCATTAAATTAGGCATTGAAGAGGCTATGATGAAGCTGAAATAGGAAAAATGAATCAGTAATAATTACAAAACTATTTGCGGTATATTTGTGAAATTTTGCGAAAAATTGTATGCTTGTGTTCATGGCAATCTAAAACTGGAGTTGCCAGGCCCTCAGTGAGTGGGCATGGCCATATCTGTGACACTTCCTGGCCGAAGTTACACGTCCAATATGTAGGTTATTTTTTTGTCTTCATTTCTAGATTAAAACATGGGATTTTCACAGTCCACACCTGGTGAGTATCAATTATTTAATGCAAACATCTATACATCATATTATTAAGGCTGTAGTCTAATGCCTTATTTAGTTCCATTTAGTTATCATTTGATATAGACTAGACCGGATTAAAAATGCTCACCTTTCAGCAATCTGTGGTCAACTTCACTGTGTTTTTGACACCTCATTTCAGTATATCAAAAGAGGGATGGCCTGAGGTTTAAGCTAGGCCTTTAAACAGTAATAAAAACAGTAATACTTAAATGTTTTTTTTTATGGCACTTAGTTTCACGGGATCATAAGTCAGTAGTATATAATGAGTAAACACAGCTATATACAAAAGTGAAAATATGTTAACACGTCCTCCACATAGGACACACTTCTGCATGTTTTAATACACGATTACTGTGTATTTGGGGGGCATAAAATGTGGCCTATGCAAAAGTTATGGCACATTTCATATATAATGTTTTATCTTTTTACCAATATGTTGAACCCAGCAACTGGGTCATAGAAATAGTGCCCTAAAAGTATGTACCAGAAAATGGCTTTTAAGTATCACATACAGTCAAAAGCAAATATTTCAAGACTGGGGGACTTAAAAGTCATTTTCTGGTACATACTTTGCACATATGTAGTAAATAGATATGTACAGTGATACAGAATTAATACTTGCATTTGTTCAGTGTAATCAAAAATATACACAACGTTATACATTATATATGATATACAGGAATATATAAGAATATGTAATATGTACGGGTGACACTACAGCATTCAGTAATGATTCAAACACAAAATTCAGAGAGTAACGCAAAACCTAACAAGCAACCATGTATAGGGCCTCTACTTTCATCTCTCCTGCACTGAAGACATCACACAGAGTGACAAGACTGGATTTAACTGGATCAAATTGTTTAACCTTAGGTAATTCTTCAACATCAGCTGATCCAGTGGAGCCTGTACCTCCTGTCTGCGCGCAGGACTGTTTGAGATGCTCTCAAACTGGAGCTGTTGCTCTTTGCTCACTCGCCTGATAGCTTCTGCTACTGAACAGATTACTGGACTCTGCATTTGTTTCTGCACTTTGCTATAGAGCTAAATAGCACCCGGCAACATTTTAATTGCCTCTGCTTCCAGAAGTATAAATTCCACTAATTTCCTTTATTGAGGTTTTGGAAAATTCTTGAACGAACACTTTTAATCCAAAACCGAACCAACCAGCATCAAGATCAGTCATGACGACATTATAAATATTGATTCAGAGCCAAAAAAGAGAAACATTAAAACCAGACAAAAAGGTAAAAGTATGAGAATGTGTAGGAGGAAATTAACTACTGATCCCTGGTAATTTTTATGAAAGTTGTTATGTACATGCAAAGTATATCTCTGAAGATCACTTCTACATACTACATACATATCTATCAAATACTAGTTACTTATTATGCCATAAAATATTGTGCTACTGTTTAATCTTGTCTATTTGTATCCTAAGTGTTTGTCACTGCTTTATCTTCTACATGTCTAGAAATCTGGTACACTGTTATAAAAAAGTACTGCACAAATAAAAGTGAAGTGAAAAGAATGAGAGCAATCTCAGTGTAAGATTACTTGATGAAAGGCATTCTGAATGTGTACACATTTGGACATTGTCTGATGGATGAGTATCTTTTTTCTAGTAATCTCTGCCTTTTTATAGAATTTGTCACAGTTTTGGCAGATAAACATGTGGAAATTGGAGAAGACTTCATTCTTCGCTGTGAGGCAAACACAGATGAATTAACAGGAATTTGGGAGAAGAATGGCCAAAAATTGAAATGTGTGGAGGGCAAAATCTTAATGACGCAAACTGGTAAATCATTTGTCTTGGAAATCAGAAACGCTGAGGAGGGAGATGAAGGGAACTACACTCTAATCCTGAGCAATAAATCTGATAAGGCTTCATGCTCTGCCATGGTCAATGTTGGTATGTAAAAATTTTGATTCACACTATAGCATATATTTAATATTTCAGTTCATTTAGCTAAGTACTGCCTTAATAATTTATTTTATGTTGTAATTATTTTGATTTGTTCATATACAGTAATTAACATAAATATACATACAGTAGCTGTTCAGTTATGAAACTGATGACATAATTTACAGCAGAAAATCTTAATTTGAATTAAATGTAGTTTTCAGAAATATCTTGTGAATTAACAGTTAATAAAAAAATCCAAATTAGCAGCATCTGAGCTCTCCTCCTGGTGTAAGTGTCTGAGGGTTTGCTTTCGTCACTGGGTAATTGGGAATTCAAATCCATCTGTAGCTGGGAGTCCATGAGATCACGTGTTAGCAGTGTCTTTCAATCTTACGGAAGTAGCTGTTATTTTACAGTTTTCTACTGGCAACTTTACAGGATTTTTCAAACACTGTACAGTAACTTATGCATTTCTTACAGAACTCAATGAGTGGAGGAGGGTGGAATGGAAGTAAGTCTATTTAATTTATCATTTAACATCATGAGATGCGATCAATGATGAACCAATGGCAACACACTGCACTTTTGTGTCATTTATTCAATATATTGTATATAACAGGCCTGTACAGCCAGGGTGTACTGCCACAACAGCTTGCCGTTTCGCATTCAGTTTATTAAGGTATGGTCTAGTACCAAATGTATATTTCTAAATAATATTTGGCTAATCAACAAGTTTATACATGTACCTTGCTTTAAAGCAATAAAGACAGTTAGCTGTGCTTTAATGTTTTGAATACAATGTTGCTGTCTGACTGGACATTAATTGATAGAAATTAGTTAGTAGTTAGTTAGTTAGTTAGTAGACAGCATTTTTTTTTCAGTCTTGCTTTTTAGTACTAGAAAATCTTGAGATTTTAATCAATAATACTGCAAAAGAGGAACACAATATTATATTATATTATATTATATTATATTATATTATATTGCTAATAATCTGATGACATAAAACAGAAGCACATTCTAGCTTGTCTCCTAAGTAGAATATTGTTAACGTGCTGTATAAGTGAGGATGTTTTGCAGGTAACATCAAAGTATGAAATATAGATATTTTATGTGTTAGAACTGAACTTGAGTGGTGGTAGAAAGGAAAATCAGAAATCACAGCTGTCAGCTCTATTCTACAAACAGCCAAAAGTATCATAAAATCAAGGTGATCAAAGCAAGGATAGTACCATGGAACCATTATATTTACCAAAATAATATTACAGTAAGTCAAAAATTGCAGCAAAGTGCTTGTAATTTCTTTAAATGATGTGCGATAACTACAGTGTTTAGTTAAACACACTTAATAAGCAATGATGGTAGAGTGGAGAATGTTTTTTTTAATTATGTTGCTTTGTATGTTATGTACTACAGAAAGTGTAAATAAGAAATAAAAGTTTAATTTTTCTATTTTCCTTCCCAAGTCAAGATGGAGTGATCGATGGCCTCAAAACGTTTAAAATTAACAATAAGAAAGTTGATGCGCTCCGTTTCCTTCTGTACGGACCCATTGGAGCAGGAAAATCCAGCACCATAAACACCATCAAGACTATTTTTGAAGGACGTCTGTTCATCAACTGTCTGCCTGCTTCAGAAATAACTCATTCTAGGAGTCAAAGCTTATACGTGAGTATAAAGAAAAAACCTGATATTCTGTTGAGGGATATTACTCAGTCAGCTGGCTGTGAATTGTTTATTCATAGCATTCGATTACGTCATGAAGAACGTCCTGCCACCATTTTGGTAAGCAAGCAGCAACTCTGACTGCTGTAATAGAGCTTGTCTAGTCAGCTTTGCCGCCACTACAGCCCTGCAGGTGGATGTAAATAGACAAGAATGACCCAAAAAAGATGAGAAAATGCTACGAGGAGAAGATTTGCTTGACTGGTGGACTGGACTGGTATAAAATTAACCTGTACATCTTTCAAACAAAGATCAGATAATTGTAAGACTTTAAATAGATTAATAAACATGGTATAATAATTATTAGCTAGCTTCTTATTCAAATTTTCCATTCCACCTTAAATGGTGGGCTGCATGATGTCATCGGAATACTCTGAATACCCTGTGTGCATAAGAGACCCCAGCTTCTGAATCAATTTATAATGATACACGTTGTGCTGTCAGTAAACGTAGAATCTACATTACACACAGCTTAGTCTTATGCTTGTGTGTATGTAAGTACAGATAACAGAAAATGGAAACCGCAGATTTTGCAGTTATGTTGCAAGTCAAACATTAGTTCTATATTCAGGAAAGTGCCAAGAACCAGAAATAACAGTGATAATGGCAGTATAGTGCTTTGGCCTTAGTTAGCTTCATTTAGTCAGCTACTTAAAAGAGCCCATGGTTTTTGAGTAATAGCACAAAGTTGAAGAGTCAGACAATGTATCACACTCTGGAACTGTGACCAGAGTCAATTAAGGCCAAACAAGTTAATTACCTTCTGAGACTTTATAACTGGAAGGGTGTCCTTCTGCACATGCCACAACTACATTTTTTCAGTTTATCAAATAAAAATTTGCAGAAAATGTTTATTCCTAAAAATAGTTTGCTGCAGAGGTTATTTCCTTCTTTTCACAGAATTTCACCAGGGCTGCTCACACTTTTCCATCAACTGTGCAATGTACATTGTAATAAACCACCATAGCAGACTTTTATAGAACTATTTTGTACTTTTATTCAGTATGAAAAATGCGAAATCGGAAAGGATGGATTGCTTCCTTTCACCTTCAATGATATCAGGGGCCTAGAAAAGGAAGACAGTGGAGTCCATGCTAAGGACATCATCAGTGCTTTAAAAGGTCACGTGAAAGAGGGCTATGTGGTAAGATCACAACATACGCACTTCAGTTTGAAAAAATAACTCATTTCCAATGTTAATGGGTGTCTCAAGTATGAATCCCAATATGTAGAATTTCTGTTAAACAACTCAGCCCAGATATTTGCGTTTTCTTCAGTTCAACCCTAAGATTCCTCTGTCTGACAACAACCAGTATTACCTCAGAGATCCCGGCCTGAATGATAAGATCCACTGCCTGGTGAACGTTATACCAGCAGACATGATTTCAATGATCAAAGACGACTACATCAAAAAAATGAAGGAAGTCAGAGAAGAAGCCAGCAGAAATGGGTGAGTAAGCTCATTCCGAAATGTCATTAGATTTGTTTTAGGCAGAATTAGTCAAACCAACCTTTGTATTTTTCTTCAGTTTTCATACTTAGAATATGGAGAAAAAAATCCAAGTTTCAAAACAGCAACAACACAGTCAATAAATTTAGATTTAGGAGAGAAGAAATTCCAAACATGAATAGGCCAGTAAGTGCATAAAGAATCTAAGGGGAGAAAAACAAAACAAAACAAAACAAACACACAAAAAAACTGTCTCTGCTACAGGACTCCCTCAAGTGATTTTTATGACGAGAGTGGACCGTGCATGCCCACTGACAAAGAAAGATTTGCACAATGTCTACAAAAGCAAGAAGATCAGGGATAAAGTGAGTAATCTTGCTGGTGAGATCTATTATGAACATCCATGCAGAGATTCTCAATTACTGTGATGACAAACTGACAAATGAATGACCAGGCATCTGTGTGTGTGTCCAGATGCGTGAGTGTAGCGTGTCGCTGGGTGTCCCAATGAACTGCATCTTTCCTGTGTGGAACTAAAATCAAACAAGTGAAACATAAAGTCTGCCTCCCCTTCATCATTAGTGGTAAAATACAGTGTCTTTTGTTTTCTGATTATCTTCTTTTTTCACTTTTCTAGTTCAGCGTTTGTTTGAGCTGCTTTGAACATTTCCTTTGTCTTCCCTTTTTCCCACCTTTTTTATTTCCTGTTCATTGGGGTGTTTGAGGTGTTTTTCCCACCTTGCCTTCAGACCTTGTCTGTGCTTCCCAATGGTGCAGCGGTAGCTCCACGGACTGCCAATCAGTACACTGGGGGTTAGAGCCTGGCTCTGGGTCACCTCAAGCCCAACGTGCCAAATTCACACTCCATTGCCTCAGTAAATTTATTTAAGACCCTTTCTCACGGGGTTTGCCTCCCTCCCGTCCTGCAACACAAAGAGCATGAAATATTGGGACAGGGTGAAAGTAAATAGCTCGTAACACCCGACTCATCATATGCTAACAGTTTAATGCAAAATATTAATGCTAAAGATATACCATCGTAAATACATATTTCTAACTGTAGCTATGTTATAGTTATAGTACTGTTATAGTACTAATAAAAATGAGTACTGTAATTTTTATGCCCTTTCCTGTGTAAAACTTAAAGCAGCTCCTGGAGGACAGTGCAGTTTGGTCATAAATGTCGTTTTATAAAATGGCTTTAAAGGAGCAGCCTGATTGCACAGAGCTGCTGTTTTTCGTAGCTTGTTTGTCTACTGCTTTCAGTTTATGTCAAATGGCAGGGTCAGAGCCAACTTCAAAACACCTCTGAAACCAGTAACGTTGCCATTAATTTCACAGCATCCAAGACTGTGAGGACTGTCACTCGTACCTGCCTTTGAAGATATGTCATAACAAAACCTCCACATTATGGAATGAATGCAGATGTCAGACAACATACTTTGAGAGGTTTATCGAAAACTGACGAAGCTTCATAGCATTTTAACCCGACCGGCTCTAGGGGTTGCTAGCTTTAGCAATCCCTGAAAAATGTTCATTGGCGTTTTCATATAAATTATATAAATATAATTAGGCTACCAGTTTGTACATTATCATAAAACTTTACAAAACCTTCCATAAGATATGTGTACATGCAAGTAATTTCTATATCTAAGTGTATACACACGTATTCACTGAGAGCGTACAGTAGACCGCTCATACAGGATTGGTTCTTTTTTAGCTACTCTTAACACATTAACTAAATGCTGATCTTCAGTCAGTCACTAAATATACATTCACTTCTCACAAGATTGTCACAGTGGATTGTTTTTGGTTAACTGTTCAAACATGGATCACTTTCTAATCCTTCCAAGAGGAATTGCTGTGCAAAAGTGCCTGCAGGGTTACAGGCTAGTCTGAAGGTTTTTACACCTAGTTTGTTTGCTAATGTTTCGAGGTCTACATCTTGTTGGAGTCTTTTGATTGGCTGGTTGAGCTTTAGCTGAATGTCCTCTAAAGCCAGACAGACACTGTCTGATTAGACGAAGCTATGATTTATATACTCACGCTGCACGGAAACACTCCGTCTGACTGACCTGCTATGTGAAATGCAGCCTCTACAGACGCTCTGTCTACGGACCATTATCAATACAGCTGATTCACTCAGAATAACACAAGTACTGAGCAACACACTGAGACACTGAGTAGCGCTGCTAACACTGAGCACTGAAGATAAAGCAGGCGCTGATGTACATGGTAGGACAATTTGGTCGCTCTACAGCTGTCATCATATTAACATTTATACCTCACTATACTATTCAGTCAAACAGAGTTAAGTCAGCATATATGGACTCAACTTTTTTTTGCCCCTATTTTGCTAGCCTACGTCTCCACTCTTACTGGGGAAGCGGTTATGATTGTGTTTGTCTTTGAAAATGGACGAAATTTGCACAGTGTATGTCTAGTGGGAATCTGACAATGCGGAATTCCCACCAGAAGGGTGGATTCCCACCAGAAGGAGAATTTACTGGTGGAATGGAGAAAAACAGCAGTAAGGCAGGGGACTTGTAATGTTTGAGGACAAAAATGCCCCCCTTTTGCTGGCTTCACCTTCACTCCTGCAAATGTTTTAGTGTAATTTCATTTCTGCTTTGTATTTTACTGTGAACTGCTATATATTTAGATACATGTGGCACTACAGGATGTAATAGTTTTCACAGGAACATTCAGTTATTAAGAGCCTCCCAGAAGTCTGTCAGTGGTTGATTGAGAATACTAATGACCTAAAGGCTGCTGTTCAAGTTATAATGATGTGGAAGAGAGGAGAAAGCACTACAGACATCTTCTTATTCTGTTTTTGATACCAGCAGGACATGGAGATGTTTCAGTCTGAACTGTGTGACAATAAATGTCCTAAAAATGTCTTAAAATGTGGATCACTGAAAATGAACATGTACAAAAACACTTTTTTGTGTTTTTCTAAATATGTTGTTTGTTAAAAACTTATTAAAACACTCAACATGCTCAGCAAAGTATTTATGTATTCACTGCAACATGAAATATTTAGAACTTTTTTTCATGTGAAAGTTTTATAACGTCTGGTTTGAGGAGAATTATTTACCTGTTCCAGTGTAGCAATACATTTCTCAGTGTTTTGTGGAGAGACTTTAAAGAAAACAAACTTACAGACATGGCAGTAATTTAATATTCAGTTCTTTCACTTATATTCTCTTTATTTGCAAAATATTTTACTCATGTTTTTATTTACTAGATTTTTACTTAATTTGTTGTGTCATGTATGTGGAACAGTGGAGTGTGAATTGTATGAGTGTGCTTTACAATAAAAATAAAAAGTATGCTTAGAATCTCAATTCAAAATCTTAATTCAAAATCCCAATTCAAAAATGGATAATTCTAAACTATCCATTTTAACTTAGTTTCCACTAGAGAGAATACAATGCTTTTCAGCCTGTTAGGAAGAATTTGAATGTATTTAGTTTAAAAGTTTGATATGAATGCCATCATCATCATCATCATCATTATTTTCTTTATTTTAGCTCAGCTTAAGCTTTGAAGCAGAGAGTCACAAGTGGAATAAAATGTAACAAAATAATAACAAGTTAAGAAATAGATTTATATAACAGTAAAAGCCCATGATAAACAATAAAGCAATAAGACAATAAAGCAATAAAAACCTTAAAATAAGTAAAATAAGCCTTCAAATAAAATATTAATACTAAAAATGAAATAAGTAAATAATGAAATAATAAATAATAAAGATCACAAACAGAGCTAAATTAATAAGACTGTAAAAGTTTAAAACCTCTAGCAGTCAAACTATATACAGCTTGCTGTGTTAAAATACCAATAATTATGTTTATTTATTCCTCCTACATAAAACTTTAACCAAATGTACTAAGAAAATTTAAATACAGTCTGGGAAAATGTGTTTTTTTCTCACTGCATTCTCACTTCTTTCTTTCAGATGTCAGTGAAGAGCTTGTGTGTGCCAAGAGTTTCATTATTTAAGAAAGAAATAGCTAATTCAGCACAAATAGCTTTTATTGGAAATGTTTGGAATAGCAGAGTCTTAAAATACACATTAGATACACATAGATAATTTGGGTAGTCTTTAAAACACATTTATTCAGATAAACTGGGCAGTTTTAGCAAGATTAAAATTGAGAGATAAGATGGGTGGCAGTGAATTATAGTTTTAAACAGTGGAACTACTGGATAAGCCGCTTTTAACAGGAGTCTGTAAAAATGCATGTTTGTTCAACTAAATTTGGTGGCTTTAGTAACACTTTCATAGCTCCATTAGACGAATACAAAGTTAGTGTTTTTTACAGTGTAAGATCTGGGTGCTGGGTAGGCATGTTAGTGGTGCACAGGGTTGGCATGTAATGGAATACAAGTATTGGGAATTTGTTCAGAGTACAAAAATTAAGTATCTGTTGCATTTTGTTAAGGCAGCATTCAGAATACAGGTACTTTTTACATTATTTGGAGAATACTTCCAGAATGCTTACCCACAAAATAAAAAAAAATCTTCAAAAGAAACACCATCAATACTTATTTATTAACTAGTATGGAAAAAATACTTAAAAATACTTTAAAAAAAAAACTTATTAAAAGAAAATTGACTACCAGTAATAGCAAGGAACAGTGTGAATTACATTTTTTTTTAAAGTTTTTTTTTGTGCTTTACCAAGATGTATTGAAAATGTATTGTAACTGTATTCTGAATAGGTTTCTTTACGTCCTGTAATGGAATACATCACTGAACACATTCAGGACAAAGTATTTAGCCCAGCTTGGGCGGTGCAGAGCTTTTATTTTGACAGCTAGTTTTAAGTGTAATTTGATTGGCTCCTGAGCGGAGCTACCAGAGATTGTACACAGTGTACAGCTGTGGAAATCAGCAGCTGGAAACTATTGAGGAAAGTACATGAGAGTATTTAGTTTAAGGGACAGAAACGGCGCCGTGTGGCTTTACAGTCTGATCAGGAGGGTTGAGAGTCATCTGTGAGGGACGTTTGAGTCGACCTAAGTGATCAAAGAAAGAAAAGCGGGCAGACGGAGCTGCAGACGGAGAAACGGTCACACATCATCGCTTAAGACTTCAGGTGAGATCAGAACTAATAGAAGTGTACAGTACTGAGGTGGAGATCAAAGAAAATACGCTTTTATTAACAAAATCAATAACAAGGCTGCTTTTCTCTGAACTCAGTGGTGGATTAAACTGTTAGTCACTTCGATATGGCCGAAAACACAGACAGTCGAGACAGACTGCTGTTGGTGGTGTGGGAGAGAGGGGGAGAGGGAGAGGGAGAGGGACAGAGGGAGGAGTCTGATGAGAAACACTGTAAACCTGGACTGAGAAACAGAAACAGTTGGTTTTGTTACACAATACCACTCTTACTCATGCTATTTTCTTTGTTTTACTTTTTTATACAATTTAGAATAACAATGAACAGATCAAAACTACAGAGTAACACATATGGAATGAACCAGACCTGAAAAACAAAGATTAGGGATCATGTACAAAATCTCCTATATGATGATCAAATGTACATATTATGCCATCTTTTTAAATGCCTGTACATTTATTTCTTGTGCATTGAGGATTTAAGAATTTGATGGAAAAATGCAGCAGTTTTGCTCTTTTTATAAAATAACAAGGACGAAAAACAAACACAAAAAAAATATGAACAGATTATATATATATATATAAAACTCATTTGTGGGGTACAGTCAGTTAAAAGTCTGAAATGGGTTTTGAACTCTGAACCTTTTCAGTAGAATAATGCATATAGGTCTATTATGCCACAGTTAGTTGGGACCTTGCAATCAAACTCTTTAATTGAATGAGAGGTTTCTATAAGTGTCTATATCTCCCAAACCTCTTTAAGTATCATATAAAGCTCTAAATGGAATGGCCCTTCAGAATGGACTTATGAATTAGGGCTGCAACAACTAATCAACATCTATTAATAATGATAATATTGACAATAAAAAATGTCGATAATAAATCAAGTTGGCTTTATGACATTTGCTTATTTTATTTATATTATGTAACTGAAACAGGGAAACACAGACTGCAGTGCAGGATCAAAAACTACTAAAACATTTCACTTGAAAATGTGGTTTCCTGTGTGATGTATAAAACCAAGCTCAATGGACAGCCCAACACACACCCCCCAATTTGCTGTGAATGTGAGAGAGTATATGCACTGTTAAAAGTTTAGCGGATCAAATAAGCAGAGCTGGCTGAAAAGGACACTGGAGACAGAGGGCTAAATGGAGAGCTGTGGCAAACAAAGCAAACCTTTTTAGTTGACCCTGAACTTTTCAGCTCTTTAAATTAACCTTTACTTTTTGTCTGTACACAGACATGAGACCCAGACCCAGTTGAAACTCCTAGCCTGATTAGACCGCTGGCTCACCATGAGTCACTCTCCACCTGCTCACTTGTGCCTGACCACACCCTATATCAGGGGTGACCAGTCCTGGTCCTGGAGATCCACCACCCTGCAGAGTGTAGCTCCAACCCTAATGTGACTATTTGAGCCAGGTGTGTTGGATCTGAAATCTCCAGGGTGGTAGATCTCTAGAACCAGGATTGAGCACCCCTGCCCTATATAAAACCTACGGAAGCAGCTACTTAATAAAATAGAAATCTATCCATCCATCCATCATCCAAACCGCTTATCCTTCTGGGTCATGGTGGGGTGCTGGAGCCTATCCCAGCTGTCATCGGGCGGAAGGCAGGATACACCCTGGACAGGTCGCCAGTCCATCGCAGATAAAATAGAAATCAAATTTAAAAAATCATATGAAAAAAGATCATATAAGACAACCAGTTTCATATGTCCTTGGTACGCTGACAAGTGTACTATGGTTACTTGCATTGATTTTTGGTTCTGTGTTTACTCCTCATCAGGCAGCACTGTAGACACTAACATACAGTGATGGAGGGAACTGGAGACCTGAAGCAGGATTCTTACCAGCCTGGGGATGGGGTTCTGCAGAGAGCCTTAGAGAGACATAAAAACAGCATGAAGAACAAGTATGAGAGCTTATTTGAGGGAATCAAAACGAAAGAGAATAAAACTCTCCTGAATAGAATTTACACAGAACTGTACATCATAGAGAAAGAGAATGAAGGAAAGAATGAAGGACATGAGGTTCTGCAGTTGGAGAGAAAACCCAGAAAGCACTTCCAAGGCACTCCAATCAACTGCTTAGACATCTTTAAACCTCTGCAAGGTCCTAAAGGAGAAAGAGAGGACGAGAACAGTAGAGCTGCAATGACCAAAGGCATCAAACTCCAAGAAAGAACAAAAGATGAAGAATCAAAAGTTCAAAATCTCAGAGCTGTTCTGACTAAAGGCATTGCTGGAATTGGAAAAACTGTCTCTGTGCAGAAGTTCATTCTGGACTGGGCTGAAGGAAAAGCCAATCAGGATGTAGGGCTCATGTTTGTGCTTCCGTTCCGGGAGCTGAACTTGATTAAAGATGATCAATACAGTCTTTATGGACTTCTGTGTGACTTCCATCCTGAGCTCAAAGATCTGGACCCAAAGATCTATGATCAGCTCAAAGCTGTGTTTATATTTGATGGTCTGGATGAAAGCAGAATTCCACTGAACTTTGAAGAGTGTGAGAAAGTATCTGACATCACCATGACATCATCAGTGGATGTGTTGATGATGAACCTCATCAAAGGAGAGCTGCTTCCCTCTGCTCTAATCTGGATAACTTCCCGACCAGCAGCAGCCAATCAGATCCCTCCTGAACACATCAACCGTATGACAGAAATTCAGGGATTCAGTGACCCACAGAAGGAGGAGTACTTCAGGAAGAGGATCAGTGATGAAGACCAAGCCCAGAGAATCATCTCCCACATTAAGACAGTGAGGAGCCTCCACATCATGTGTGACATTCCAGTCTTCTGCTGGATCTCAGCCACTATCTTTCAGCAAATCATGAATCAATGTAATACAAAAGTCCCTAAAACTCTGACTGAAATGTACTCACACTTCCTGATCACTCAGACAACCATGAAGAGTGAGAAGTATGAGCAGAAAGATGAGAGAGATCCAAAGAAGCTGCTGGAGTCCAACAGAACCGTTCTTCTGAAACTGGCTGAACTGGCTTTCAAACAGCTGATGAAGGGCAATGTGATGTTCTACGAAGAGGACCTCAGAGAGTGTGGCATTGATGTCACTGAGGCCTCAGTGTATTCTGGGATTTTCACTGAGATCTTTAGGGAGGAATGTGTGCTTTACCAGAGGAAGGTGTACTGCTTTGTTCATCTGAGCTTTCAGGAGTTTCTGGCTGCTGTTTTTGTGTTTCACTGCTATGAGAGCAAAAACATGGAGATACTGCAGTGGTTTAAAACATGGCGCAGAGAGTGGTCTGAGAGTGTTACACTGGATGAGCTGCTGATGGGAGCAGTGGATAAAGCCTTAGAGAGTGAGAATGGACTTCTGGATCTTTTCCTACGATTCCTGCTGGGCATCTCACTGGCGTCCAATCAGAGACTCCTACAGGGCCTGCTGACACATGTACAGAGCAACCCGGAGAAAATGACAGAATACATCAAGCAACTAATAAAGAGAGATGGAGAATACATTTCGACTGATGGATCTATAAATCTTTTCCTTTGTCTATGTGAAATGAATGACCAGTCTCTCTCCAGGGAGATTCAGGAATATCTCAAATCAGACAAACTCTCACATAAAGATCTCTCACCTGCACAGTGCTCAATGCTAGCCTATATGCTGCTGATCACAGACGAGGTGCTGGATGAGTTGGACCTGAAAAAAATCACATCACATGAAGGTTATAAGAGGCTCATTCCAGCTGTGAGTCTCTGCAAAAAAGCTTTGTGAGTATCTACGTTAACCTATATTATTATCTGAAAGTTTGTTTGAATAAAATGTAACCTGAATCAGATCACATTTTTTTAATGAGATGTTATTATAAATTATAAATACATGTTTAGCTATTAGAGCAGCAGTAGTGGAGGTTGTTTGAAGGGCAGGGACAAACAAGTAAAAAGGGCACAGACTGCACAATAAGCTATGATACATCATGCATGATGAAACAGTCTTCATCCTGATTAAGATTAATGTTATGTTATTAGGTGATCCACAATATACAGGGAACTATAAACCTTTAAAATGTTTAATTAACAAACACTTCTGAAATAAAACACTCAGCAAACTATTAACATTTGTTTCACAACAAACACACAAATACTGACATGATAATTTAAGTGAGAAAGCATGATTTGGGAGCAGAGTAGTCAGGCGTAGTCACACTCAAGTTAATTGAAAAAGCAATTCGTACTAAACCTTAAAGTTCCATGGGCATTTTGTGCAAATTACCCTAAAATTATTCCTTTAGGAATTTATGTACACTCTGCTTTCTAAATTGAGTCCACAGGTTAGCATAGAATCAGCTAAGCAAGGTACTTATTTTGTAAGCATGCTCTTTAGGTAGGCATCTAGGCACTTGCAGTGTCCATACATTAGTATTTAGTAATGCATCCTTGGTAAAACTCTTTACAACTTTAAAGAAAGCTTGTTGTATTGCCTCACACACTGTAGTAGAATGTCAGAGCTACAGGTCAGACACTGAAGCCCCATCTGACACCTGTATATCCTAAAGGGATTATGGCTAAAATTAAAAACTTAAATGGATGTAATAAATACAAGTGTTTAACAATGAGAATGAGTATTTCAAACTTTGTCATTCATAGATTTCATAGGAAAGGTACTCATAGGGAATATCAACTTTAGACCATTGTAAGGGAACCTTATAGGGCACTGCATCATGTTTTCTCCACTAGACACATCATCAAATCTTGCTCATCATAATTTATTGCATGAATGGGCACCATAGAGGGCACTCAAAATTTTTTCCCATTTAAAGGGTAGTCAATAGGGCATGTCCTCCAGAGTCCACCAGTGTAGAGCAGCAAGAGCCCACGTAATTAGCAAACCCTCACTCATACCAATATCCTGTTGAAGTCTAGTCAAAAACACAGATGTAGATGCACAGTTTGTCACTGCAGTTCTTTAGCCCTGTGGTTCTGAACCTGAGGGGTTTGAGATGTTTGTACATAAACCAATAATGAAAAATACAATCTTTTACACTTAATGTAACTTACACTTCATGTCCTTTGTTGAAATTATGAAATGTTCATTCTGCAAGTGTTTCTTTGCAGACTAGATGAGTGTTTTCTCGAAGAGGAGTCCTATGAAACTCTCTGCTCTGCTCTACAATCTGCAACCTGTCCACTGAAAGAACTGCACCTCAGTAATAGTACCCTGCTGGATTCAGAAGTAGAGCTGCTCTCTGTTGGACTAAAGAGTTCACATTGTAAACTGGAAATACTTAGGTGAGTTTTTATTAATTAATTCATAAAGAAATCTTTTGCATGTTATATTACATTTTCTCTAGAAATTCTCACCATATCCATTAAAGCAAAATCAGTATGTATTGGAAAAACTTTGGGATGTGTTGTTAATTTAACCATATCATAAGCTGCCCTGGTAGTTATTACAGTTAATGTTCTATACTGCTATATGGGTATCATCTTGTTAGAGAAAAGTAACAAAGGCAAGGTTTGCTGTTTTTGATTTTAATTTGGATGACATGTTGGGCTTTGAACATCATGTGTACATTTTTATTGATGAAAAGACAAAGTGGCATGTGGCAAGCCAAGTTTTAATCTATACCATGTACTAAAGGTACTCTCTGTCTTTGCAGACTTGGTAGATGTTTTATCAAGACAAACAACTGTGAAAAATTAGCATCAGCTTTACAATCAGTAAACTCCACCCTGAAAGATCTGGACCTCAGTAACAATTTGCTGTATGACTCTGGATTGGAGCTGCTTTCCACTGGACTAAAGAGTCCACACTGTAAACTGGAGAGACTCAGGTGAACGTTCTGTGAATTTTCCTGAATGAAACTATATCCCTGAGATGCTAACCAAATTGTGTTGTTGTTGTTGTTGTTGTTATTATTATTATTATTATTATTATTATTATTATTAATGTCCCTCATTTATTTAATAGATTTTAGACTCTCTTACTCCAACCATCCCAGAAATATAAACATAGACCAAAATGTGTGCTATTTGTGAGATATTTTATTGTATTATGAATGCTTTTATGAGTATATTTCAGACCTAATTGTGATTTTGCATCATAAATTGGCCATAGAAATGGCTTAGCTATAGTTTGTGAATCCTTGGAATTACTTGCATTTTTGCATGGATTACTCATAAATTGTGGCCTGATTGTCATTTATTGTACAATTATAGACAAACACAACTTGACTAAATTGATGATGCACAAACATTACTTTTCAAGCCTTATTCAACCGATTGAGTATTCATTCACAGTGCAGGCTGGAAAAAGAATATGAACCTGTGTTGCAATGACTTCTCTAAAAGCTAAATGGAGTCAGATGTTGCAATTAAGAAGACAAGAAATTAAGAAGACAAACTCTGGCTACTGAAAAAAGTTTGCTCTTCTCAAGAAAGATTGGTTGGTGGGAACAAAAGTGTGATCAAAAGACCTGGGCATTCACCAACCATAGCAAGACAAGGAGTAATCAAATGGAGAAAATGTGCAATGCTGTAAGAGGTGACAAAAACCCAAGAGTAAAAGAGTAGAATTAACCTCATCCCAGCTGTGAAGCATGGTAGATGGAGCATCATGGATTGTTTTTTGTTGTCTCATGGTTGGAAACCTTGGAGTCATTGAGTGAATTCAAAATTTTCAGGATGAAATTTTACAAGAGAAAGCCTTGGAGAAGGATTGGGTGATGAAACACACGAGTAAATCAACAAGAAACAAGAAAATTTGGATATTGCAATGGCCAAGTTTAAGAGTGCTGTTCCAGCAAGACATTTCAAGAAGTGATTAATGCAGAAATCCAGTTAATTTCAAAGGGTTCACAAACTTTTTCTTGCAAATGTTAATGTTAATTTTCTCTTTCGTATGATGGCATGTTGGGCTGTGCACATCTAATATCTTTCTACTCTCTTTCTAGACGTGAACACAAAGTGGCACATACAGAATACTGCCACTGAATTTGTACTTTATTTTGTCTTTACAGGTTAGCAAGCTGTTATCTCACCACAAACTCCTGTGAAATACTATCAACAGTTCTACAGTCAGGAAACTCCTTCTTGAAAGATCTGGACCTCACTTACAACAACCTACAGGACTCAGGAATGGAGCTCCTCTCTGCTGCACTGAGGAGTTCACACTGTAAACTGAAGACACTCAGGTGACCCTTCTGTTAATACATTCCTCAGTGGAAAACATTACGTTGAGAGGACAAATTTTAAGGGTCCAGCACAGTATTTTTGCACGGACCTTAAAATCTTAACCTAGTAGAAAATCTGTTATTATATGTGTACTTTTGTTTTCAGTGCAACACGTGTAGTAATGGATAAAATGACATAACATATGGGATGGGATGGGATGTTCCAATAAGCTAACTCGCTTTAATTTTTTGTCATATCATAAGGAGACTTTGTTAAGATTTAAGATTGAGATTAAGTGACCCTTATTAGTCCCACAATGGGGAAATTTCACCTCCGCAATCTAACCCATCCATGCAGTGAAACACCACATACACACTAGAAGGCAGTGAGCACACTTGCCCGGAGCAGTGGGCAGCCCTATCCGCAGAGCGTGGGGAGCAGCTGGGGGTTAGGTGCCTTGCTCAAGGGCACCTCAGTCATGTACTATAAGACTAGTTATAAGCCTGCTACAATATTGCTAATTTTTGCAAATGTGTCTATGGGATTTCCAGAGTTAGACTGCTGCCTAACAGTTTTGCTGGCAGTGGTGTGCATGTGTATTAAAACGTAAAGGCTAACACTTAGTATCACTGCAGAAGGGTGTTAGCCTGTTAACTATTTGGCAAGTTGTTAACCAAAATCGTAAAAGTTTGAGTATCTGTATCTTCAGATATCCAATGTCTATTTTGTGTTCTGTATCTGTGTTCTCTTTGGACGCTTATGTAAGTTTGATGCCATTTCCACCCTGCACCATGCAATTCTAATGTTAGGCATAGATTAATGCAGAAACTGTCAAGAGAAGAAGATGGTTATGAATATGCAAGCTTTTACAGTTCCTTAAGAATGAAAAATAAAATCTACAAAGAACATGGAAAATACAAAATACTCATTTTTGGGAAACAATAGACACACTGACTTTGGGAAGTCAATTGAAATATGTAATAGTTTAAATGCTATATATTAACTGTGTTGTTTATGATTTCAGTATTTATTTTATGTACTTTTACTTTTGTATTGTATTTCTCTTAGTTATTCTCTTAGTTATCTCTCTTTATCTCAGTAGTACAAAAAACAAAAATGATTATGGTGTTTAAACAATATATGCTTACACTTCCTTTCAGAACTCTTTCCTTGAACATGTTGAGTTATTGTGCTTGAAATTTCTTCCCTTCTGCAGTCTAGTTACCTGTAATCTTGGGGAAAAGGCTTGTGAATACCTGGGATCAGCTTTACAATCAGCAAGCTCCTTAAAAGAACTAGACCTCAGTAACAATGAACTGCAGGATTCAGGAGTGGAGCTGCTCTCTGTGGGACTGAAGAGTTCACAATGTAAACTGGGGATACTCAGGTAAATGTGTGTTGTGCTGGTCTGAGTGGATTAGACACAGCAGTGCTGTTGGAGTTTTTAAACACTTCAGTGTCACTGCTGAACTGAGAAAAGTGCACCAAACAAAAATATCCAGCCAACAGTGTCCTGTGGGCAGTGTCCTGTGACCACTGATGAAGGACTAGAGGATGATCAGTAAGACAGGATTAATAGAATTAGCTGTTTTCTGTGTTTGTACTGTACTGCAGCAGTTTTTTGGTCTGTGTAAATACCACCTATTTTTTCCATTTTTGCAGATTGTCTGGTTGTATGGTTACAGATGAGGGCTGTTCTTCTCTAGCTTCAGCTCTGAAATCAAAGCTTTCCCACTTGAGAGAACTGGATCTGACCTATAATAACCCAGGAGAGTCTGGAGTGAAGCTGCTCACTGATCTACTGGAAGATCCACACTGCAGGCTGGAGACACTCAGGTACATAGAATTCTGTTTGTGTGAGTCAGTGCCACAATCACATAATTATCATAATCATTTAAAATTACATTAACAAAAATAAGTGCATTGTTTTAATGCGGTTTGTGCAGTGTAGTTTAGTGGGGTAACACTGGCATTTGGCCAATTTGTTTGGATATAAGAGCTTTTACCCTCAGTTGTTATTTTGTGTTCAGTAAAAAAAAAGAAAAAAAAAAACATTCCTGCACTAACATGGCACAGCAGAAAGCATGGCATTCACATCTGCTCATTACTGCCTCACCAGAGCCATTCTAAAATTATATATTACTGACTTAAAACATGATCCTCTTCCATTTGTTACCAGCCTGTGTTGTGCAGTATCAGGCGCAATCCCATTTCTTGTTTTTATCCTTACTCCTTGTTTTCGAACATCACCTTGCCACCTGGAACTGAGTTTCAAGGGGCAGTGGTTGAAATCTTCCCCTATAAAATGGGACAACCCTCAAATAAAAAAGAACTTTGCTTTATCTAGGATACATACATTGTATCTAGGCTTCTAGCAGTGCTCTGTGGGCAGCCCTGCAGTCTGCAGTGTTGCCAGAGGAGGGTAAAGTTCAGCAACTTCACTGCTGGTCTTTAGTTACATTTAGGGCATCACATGCCTTCAAAGAGGGGGGATGCGACAATTATTTATCACCCACCCTTAATTTTTCTGGGATGTTAAGCTGAATTCAGCTATTCGCTAGCTTTTTGTTTGAACTTTCCCATTCCACCTTACCATTTAAGGTGGAAGAGGAGATTTGGTGGAAATTTAGCTAGCTAGCTAGCTGAGACATCAGCAAACTTCTAGGGATTTTTTTACACTTGTTATGAAGAAAAAGGCCCATAATACATTAAAATAACTTTAAAGTAAGATAATACAATGGTTATTGTTCTTTCTCCCCTCTGTTTTGACACTTGGCCCTACTCCCTCCATTGTATACTTGTGTATTTGTATAATGACAATAAATTGAAGTTAAACGATTAATTGATTGTTGATTATTGTACCATCCAAAAATGTGGCCAACTACCTTGCAAATTGGTGTATAAATTTGTGTATATTTATTTATTTTTTTTTCTTCTGTCTCCCTCAGGGTGGAACATGCCGGGAAGATCAGGATGAGCCCTGGAGTAAAGAAATGTAAGTTGACTGTTCAGTATAATGTAATGCATGTACAGAGTTGCATGGAATAAAAGATATTTATAACAGAGAACTGAATGCAGTGTCCCAACTGTGTTCATTCATGTTTTTAATAATAATAATAATCCTAGTAATAACCCTAATAATAATAATAATAATAATAATAATAATAAAATATTTGCTTATGTGCATTTATACAGTATATAGTAAGCTTACATCATGCTTTGCCGTAGAACAAGGCTATGTAAATGAAAACAATAAAAATAAATTTCATAATAAATAAATTATTAATATCAATTATTTAACCCAGCAGAAACAATAATCTGCATACAGTTACAGAGAAAAGCCTTTGGGTCCATTCAGCTCAAGGGCTATCCAAATGACAACAGATCCTAGATATACAGCAGGAGGAATAATTCCTTGTTAAGGAGTCTTTTGGTGGGTCATCTGGGAAGCATTAAAACCTTAGAGAGGATTGGCAATAGGTTCCATTGGCCCAGGTTGTATGGTGTTGTGTAGCAGTAGTGTAACTCATGTGCAGTGTGCCAGCAAACCTTCAGAAAGAAGAGTAGTTCATTCCCCACTGTAGCCATAGACAATTATAGGTGTTCCATTCATTCAGATAGGGATGGATATTGTAGAGCCCTTGAAGAGAACAAGCTAGTTACTGCACAAGCTCACACTCAATACTGCATTGGTTCTCTAGGATAGGAATTCTCTTACCTCGGAAACATAATAAAACTGTAACTGTACTTTCACATTAGGAGGCGACATTAGCGATGTCACTAACGTCTCCAAGTATGCCTCTTGTAAGGGGGTTCAAGTGGGTGTAGTCTGGTGTTGCCTGTGGGTTATATATAATCTCTATATCTCACCATGTTGTTGTAAATATGAACCAGTTTAAATTCACATGTTTATAAGTTCCTCTTCCATTCCTGAGTGATTTTATTGGGAGTAGGAACAAAACAGGTCAGAGAGTAGAGACTGAAGACACTGGACCTTCGTGTCTACAATTGGTATAGATCATGCCAATCATTTAGATTGTCTCATCACCACACCATAATTCCTCTGCATAAAGTTGAGAAACTTGATTTTTCGCTTATCGCCCAGCCACAGAGACATTTGTTGCTCAAAATTGCCTAGTCTTATCAAAAACAATTGGTCAGCTGTCACTCTGTCACCTAACTAATTCTCTTACCTTATTACATGATTAAGTTACTCTGGATAAGAGTCAAATGCCATAAAGACCAGGACAAAACTAGTTTACTGTGGTCAGTATCATGTATATATTCATTATTTGTGCAATTTCCTTTAATCTGGGTTTTTCTGTGTACAGATGCCTGTGAGCTCACGTTGGACCCCAACACAGCACATGTGTCTATCTCTCTGTCTGAGGGGAAAAGAAAGGTGATGCATGGGAAAGAGCCACAGCCGTATCCGGATCATCCAGACAGATTTAAACGTAATCCACAGGTTCTGTGTAGAGAAAGTCTGACTGGACGCTGCTACTGGGAGGTTGAGTGGAGTAGGGGTGTTCACATAGCTGTGGTGTACAGAAGGAAAAGATGCGGTGAGCATTGGTTTGGATGGTATGACAAATTTTGGTCTCTGTGCTGTGACGATGACGAGTATGGTGTAAAATACATTGACATGTACAGTTTGACTACTGGAAGAATATTTGACCCCCTTCCCTCCGGCTCCCACAGAGTAGGAGTGTATCTGGACTGGCCGGCCGGGATTCTGTCCTTCTACAGAGTCTCACCGGACACGCAGACACTGACTCACATACACACATTCCACGTCATGTTCAATGAGCCGCTCTATGCTGGGTTTAGCTTTTGGGCTGACTCCTCGGTGCGTTTGTGTGAGAGTCTCCTCAGTTCTGGAGAACAACCTCCAGAGAACACATACTTTTTCAAGTATTGCAGGTAATGTACAGTGTAGTGCTCTCAAAGTTAACACATACTAATAACTCGTTAACATAATACATTATTAATGCTACTACTTAGTTTAATGTTGTTAACACATTTTCCTAGTTTAACCATCTGTAGTTTTACTGTGAGGGGCTTTGTCTGCTGCTGCTGACTCAGAGACTCCATCGATGGCACTCTTGATAAACTTACTCCCATCTACTGCAATGATACATTTGTTTATCGCTTAAGTCCATTGAGTCTGAAGTATCATTTAAAAAAAAAAAAAGGAGTGCTAATGCAGAAATATCAGTAATATTATTAATTCACCAACATAAGACAACATTGAGACATAAGAGTGAGAGGCCACAGTTGGAACATGCTGTTACAATTTAAGAATGCAAATAGTTGCAATTAATTATTTTAATAACTTGACTGCCCAATACAGTACAATACTAACATGCTCACTGCTGGTTAACTCTATCGAAATGGGCATTTTGTGGATTTCCACTCTGAGAATTAGATAATATCCCTTTCAACTCCTTTAAAATCCGCCCCAGAGTAGCTCTGGCACATGCTCGTCCATTTTTGCCACAGTGAAACATATTAGTATGTAGAATGAGAATTTTCTCTATGCTACTGTATTCCTAAAATTGTATTAAAGGTGTACAAGCCTTCCTTTATTGTTGAATGAATTTTCAGTGAGCAAAAAACAATATTTCTCAGTTTTAACATTTGATATGTTGTCTTTTTCCATTAAATGTAGTATTAAAATTATTTGTACATCATTGCATTCTTTTTTTATTTACACTTTGCACAGCATCCCAACTTTTTTGGAAACAACGTTGTATTTATTTGTGTGTTTATTGTACCTTGTGTGTTTACTGTTGGTCTCTTAGAGCCTTAATAACATTTTAAACACCGTAAAACTAACAAGAACAAGAATTTAAATAACTTTATTATGAATTTATTGTTGTTTATGATCAGGAACAATGAAAGGGCTATTATTAGGACACATTAGCTTGTATCTAGCATAGCAAAAGGTTCCATCTGTAAAACACAGCTGAAGATAAATATCAACATAGTGGGTATCTTGTCTCTTCCCCCCGGTCAGCTGCTCCACCTTCAGGTAAAGAGTTCCTGCAGTGACGTTGCAGCAGCACTTTTGAACACTCAAGTAAAAATGCCATAACTGTCATGTCTGATCAGTGATGTCACTAACTTTAGCTTCATCATAGCAATGAAAACAACACATTTGGGCACAGGCAGTCATATTAGACTCAATTTAGTCTTTATACGAAAGAGTTTTGAATTTCATAATATTCTGAGTATTAAGGCTGCTAATGTTTGTGCTGGGTAAAGAGTTGGGATCTGAATACTGCGCCATAGCAACACAGCACATCTCAGACTTCTATACATGCATTTTTCATCCTCATGTTCTTCCAAATTCATTCCAGAGACATAATACTTTGTTCATTCCTGCAAGGTAACTTGTCAAGTCTGTTCTTCTCATTCTTCTCAGTATTGAGAAATACCCACTGTTTTCTATCAGCTGTCAGTGTAAAGAAAATTAAAAGGCAAAAAAAGCAGAAGAGCAGCTTCATCTAACTGGTCACGGCTGAATAAGATGAATGGCACTCATATTTCGCCAAACGATCACATTAACACATTATAATACAGTATATTCTGTATTAGACTTGTGTAACCAGAGCTTTGTGTCCCACACATAGAGTTCCCAGCAAAGCTCCGTTTAATGGTGGGCAGACACCATCCCTTCCTTCCTCATCTGCCCCCTCCTCTTCCTCACCTTCCTCCTCATTCCACAGTGCTGTTTTAACGTGTGTATATTCTGTACTGTCCACACACTCTGTCTCTCGGTGGTAGAAGTAGCTGAAGTTGGACACGATGACAGGAACAGGAAGTGAAATCGTCAGCACACCAGCGATGGCGCACATGGATCCCACAAGCTTCCCCGACATTGTCTCAGGGTACATGTCACCATAGCCCACTGTTGTCATGGTCACCACGGCCCACCAGAAGGCGTGGGGGATGCTGATGAAGGAGGTGTCTGCATGATCGACCTCAGCGAAGTAGATGGCACTGGAGAAGAGGATGACTCCGATGAAGAGAAAGAAGATGAGCAGGCCGAGCTCTCGCATGCTGGCCTGGAAGGTCTGTCCCAGAATCTGGAGACCCTTCGAGTGGCGCGACAGCTTAAAGATCCGGAACACTCTGACCAGTCTGATGACCCTCACGATGGCCAGGGACATGGCGTGCGTGGATCCTTTAGACCTGGCCAGCTCGCTGCCCAGAGTGACGAAGTACGGCAGGATGGCCATGAAATCGATCACGTTCATCACGTCCTTAAAGAACTGAAACTTATTGGGCGAGCACAGGAAACGCATCAGCAGCTCAAAGGAGAACCAGCAGATACAGATTGTCTCCACCACAAAGAACGGATCCTGGAATGGAGAGACTGAGTGGGGGAACAGCACCGTGGAGTTCTCAGAGTTACTGTGAGACCTGTAGGAGATTTCCTGAGAGAGAGACAGAAAGAGAAAGAGAAGAAAAGAGGGCAGAAGAGGGGGGAACATGTAGGCAATGAGTTAAAGAATAGACAAAGTGACAAAAACTGACTAAATGTAGGGTGCTATCGCTATGCTAATGTACTTTAATCCATGTTTATAGATAGCAGTAAGTCACAGAGTGTCAGAAACGGTGTGATGATTTAGGCCTGCAGCTCCCCCTTGTGGAGAAACTTCAGCATTCTGGACTCCTGGGAGTTACTGATTAGGTCAATGAATTTCTTAGCATCTAAAAAAGAGAACACTTTAACAATTGTTTATTGCATGAAGTTACCCTAAGAGATGATGTGTTCCTAATTGTTTAATTTAGAGGTTTGTCTTTGTGTTTTAGGTGTATGTGATTAACAAACCTACAAAATGGCAACTCACACAGTTCACATTTAAACATGTTCACATTTTATATATTTTCATCTATGTCTCTGCTTAGATTTGTCCATTTTGCCTTTTCCACCCCAAGGCCCATCTATTTATCACCTGAAAGCATGAAGGCCCACATTTTTTCTTTTTTTTTGCTTAAAAAAATAAGATTTGGGAAATTTTCAGGACCACAATGTGTGATGTCTTTTACTGGGCATAAAATACCGACAGATTAGGCTAAGATAAGCTTGTTTCATACCTGAAATTAGGCAGAATGCTGGCAAATTAAGTCAAATGTTTGACTTGTGAGTTGGCGACTGATATTTTGAGCAATGTGTTTTGTGTGCCATGTTGGTATGGCTAATATTAATACGATTTACTGTATGAAAACATTTTATACTTCTTTCTTGTTTTTAAGTCAATTTTTTTTTTCACTGATTTTTATGCTATAAAGTAACATCACTGGCCCACTAAAGACCACTGCTCCCCCCTCCCCTTTAAAACTGGCCCAAGGACTACCAACGGGTGCTTTGCGGCCCACTGGTGGTCCATGGCCCATTGTTTGAGGAGCCCTGGTCTAGAGATGGCCCCAATTAGCATCCTGCTAAGTGGTGGTCTATAAGCTTTCATTACTTGACAGTCACATCAGCCTTTAGCTCCAGGGCTAAAACTAAAGAGGCAAACTTCAGACATTGAACATTTCATGTCTACACTGATCCACTTCATTTGGAGGAAAACTGGGTATATTTGATTTGTGAATTGTCACTTTAAATCTGGAGTTGGAGTTAGAGTTACTCGAGATTACTGTGGGTAAGTCATATGATGGAAACCTGGCAGAAGTTATGTGTCAGAAGGCAGTGGTGATGGTGGAGAAGGTTGAGGCAGGGCTGCTTTGGATTCTTTCACTGAAGGACTTTCTTACACACATCTCCTCTTACACACCACACACTCACACTCTCTATCCAAGAGGATCAGATTTAGCCATATGATAAAAATAATCACCTCAGCAGCTCCTCCTCTCTCACTCTGTTACCCTTATATCCACACTATCTCTCTCAATTTCTCAGACCTTCTTTCTCTTTTTAGCTAACACCCCTGTCCACTGAAATAATGTTAATTCCAATTCCAACACCAGCTCCTCAAACTGTAGCCTAAAACTGCCAAACTGGGCAAAGCTTGCTGGTTTTTGGGGGTATTTTGGTGAGGTCAGTCTTTAGATTTCAGTTCAGTATACAGCAGTGTTAGCTTGCATGTAGCAGTAGTCGTATTTTGGCTCCTTATTGACCTATACAGCTAAACGTTTTAGCTTTGGAACATTTTAGGGCATGACAGCAGTGATTTTCCAAAACGCCATTCATTTTTTCATTGAGAAAAACAGCTTAGACACTGGAATTCTTAATATGAGCATGATGGTGACTATCAAATGATGACATGACTTCAGAGGTCTATGATACAATGATAGCAACTGCAATATATGCTTATGTTGATGGAGATTCATCCTTTTACATTATCGATAAATTACATGTTTATATTTGAGATTTTATTTGTATACTTCAGTAGTTTTAGTTAAAAAATGCTTTATTGAATTTTTTTTGACATTCCTCAGTTAATCAAGTCTTCAGCTATGCAACCATACAGGGCTTTCTTTGCTATATTTTGTACTTCATAATGTGCAACAAATTTCATTTGGAGACAAGTAGGTCAGTCTAGCACAGGGGTTGGCAACATGTGGCTCTGAAGCTGCATGTGGCTCTTTTACTGTCCTGTTGTGGCTCCACAGCTGAATCAGATTAGTAGGTAAAAATAAAATAATCCTCCTTTACAGAAAAATAAAGCTCTGCTGATCGTTCAACACAGTTTAACAATAAATGGTCTTAAACTCTGGAGTTAATGTAGAACTGCTAATTCACCCTTTAACCCTGAAGATCAGCGCAGACTGCTGGTCACCATAGCAACAACAAAAATCTGGCCTAGCTAGTAGCCAACAAAAAGGTAAAGAGAGAAATTTAATTCGAACATCAATAATTTGGTGACAAGTGGACTTATTTGCATTTATAATCACTCCAGCTGGTTTCCTGATATGTTTAATCTACAATGAGAAAAACTAACAAACACTAAAGTCGTGAGGCTGAAGTCAGTTTCTCATTCGCCAGCTTCTTGTTTGAATTTTCCCGTTCCACCTTAAATGGTGCATAAGTTCTTGCGCCTTAGGCACCATTTAAGGTGGAGCAGGAAAATTAGAACAAGAAACTGGTGAATGAGAAACTGACTTCAGCCATGCAAAAAGTCAAACGTTGAGAAACGTTTTACAAGAAACTGTTCTACTTTTGAGGAAAAGTTTCCTGCTGGAGATGCAAGAAAAGCAGCTGCAGCTGAGCTAAAGCT